TTTTCAAGGAAATAGGGAAAAAAGAACTTAAATGCAATTCCTGTTTCGAAATTTTAATTGCAGGTAAAATGTTAGAACTTAATGATTATTATTCCTTGATTCAAAATATGAGCCGAGGAAGTTTATTATGCTGCCAAACATTGTTAATGTAATGATGCATAATTACATTACAGCTCAAAAACTTCTCTCAGTGGATAACGAACAAATTTTCTAATAATTCAGAGACAGATGGCAGTGAAATTAATTTTACAGAATTTGAAAGACTTTGATATATTTATGGATGTATTTGAACCCACACGTCAACTGAAACGATGTCGTAATATATAGTAAAAGCGGCAACAAATTAATTTTTAAATAATTATTGTAAAAAAATTGAATAATATGCCTAAGTTCAAAACCGTAAATTAGTTCAAACGCGTAAATTAGAAATTGTTCAAAACAAGGTTTGATTTTTTCTCTACTCCAGAGAAGGTATTGTTGTGTGCGTACGGGTTGGTAATAGATTTAATGCACACAGGTCCGACGACAGTTTGATAAAGTTTATTTTATCAAAAGAAGCACTTTAGAATTCTGGAACTTTCCACAGAAAGACATATACAGGTGTTCACAGTATCACAGAGTTCAATCAGTAGTTACACTTCAAATTACTAAGAACGTTAAACACAACGTAATGCAAAGCGCATCTAAAAAGGAAACTAAACCGGAGACATCTCAATATTCCGAACTCACGATGGACTAATAACTGGCAACGACAACTGAGGAATTGATGCTCTCTCCGGTCTTATATAGATTTTACTCTGCCACCAAGATATTTCTAGTACTTTCTGCTTCTCGAAATTACCGGAAGGTATATGAGGCCCAAATACGGCTGTAGTTACACATGAAATCACTTGCAGTTATTTAATTACAATATTCATTACAGTTATACAAAACCCGGACCAAAATGTTACCTAATGGTCGCCAAATATGGCTAATTTTAGCGATTTCTAGCCAAATTTGGAAATGAAACGTAGTCGCGAAAAGTGTTACCAGCTTAGCAATATCTTTCCAAATTAGCGAGACAGCCATTTATTCATGTTTAAGCAGACTTGCGCCTGCATTGTTACTTTTCCAGCATAGCATCGTCTCTCTAGATTTTCGTATTACATTATACAGAAAAATACGACAATTTCACTTATAATTTTACTAAAATCATTTATTTATGTACAAAATTCGTAACATTGTCCCCCTTCCCAAGACTATACGTCTCGGGTAATAAAATCCCTAGACAGGAAGCCATACTTACAACTAAGGCAAATCAATGCAATACTTAAACAATAATTTCGGTAAGTAACGTAAAACAAATCAAATACTGAATCAATAAATGAGTGCACAATACTATTTACATTATATACACTATGGGGACTACGTATTATGGTCACAGTAAGGGGCTATCCTTTCGTAATGAACAGGTTTAGAATTCGATGACTTACGGATCCGAACTACGACGTCGTTCAGCCTGTTTAGGACTGTATAAGGACCATCTCTAAGTTCTCTAAGTGACTGTAGTTTAGGAGAGATGTCTTTCCGTCGAAATGGATTGCACAACCCCATCTTTTCACCTTCACTGAATAGATGTCCTATAATAGCTCCCGTGTCGTATCGGGTCTTCATTTTCACCGTCGACAAGCTGACTCGCTCTCGTATAAAATTGTGCATCACGTCAAATCGTTCCTGGAGATGTTGGATGAACTCCTCAGGCAATGAAGGCGCGTCCGGAGGGCGACCAAACAAGCCGTCTGACTAGGGATGTAAAGCTGTCGTTCGGACTTTGTCGATACCGAGTAGCTTGCAGAGTTCTTTAATTGCAGCCCGGCCAAATTCAAACAGTCAAACAAATGAACAATAAGTCTCAGTGGAGAAGAAAAAAAGTTAAATCTTCATTAATAAGTGTTCAGATGGAAAATAAAACTGCTATTATAAATATCTCTCGAATTATATTATCATAACGCGATCGTTGATTTGGTTATTACGATTCAAGAAAAATGGTCAGATTCCAAAAGAACAATGTATCCGTGGCGATTTGTCCTGCGAGGAATATACAGCAGTTGAAAGCAACTTATTACACCTAATTTTGGGGAAAGCGTTGCTGGATTTCGAAGAGCTACAAACAGTTATCTGCGACTGTGAAAGAATCTCTCAAGATCTTAATAAACGGTTCAAGTACAGACTAAGATTGAGAGAAGAAATAAAACAACGATTTTGTAGTGAATACTTATACCAGCTGAAAAAGGAAGCCAATAAAAGATCGTTAAAGCAGATAAATGTCGATGACATCGTATTAATCGGAAGTGATAATAAAAAAAACGTTCAAATTAGCATCTTGCGAAAGTGGCAGAGCTCATTCCAGGTTACGATGTACAATCAGAATTGTGCGTGTAAGATAGCATCGGGTATATTGTTACGAGCAATTCAAAGACTCTATCCGTTGAAAATTGTGCGATATCAAGATGCTGCTGTCTGAAATCAGTCCCAGGGATAAATAGAAGGGCTAGCTCATTTCTTTGTTCGACTCCTCGCCGACGCAAGCCTAATGGGGGGACGTAACAGTCAATAATCTGACCTCACTGTGATGCCACCTGTCCTGATTTCCCGCTTTTAAAACAGTAGTTTCATTAAGCTGCGAGACGATTTTCTAGAGGTTACATATCCCAAATTAATTTTAATAATACATATATCTGTTTTCTAATAATGTATATATTTAAAATAATTTATATAATAATATATATATATATGTAATTTTAGTAAGTTTTTATTTTAAATTCTGTATTGTAAAGTACCGTTTACGTAATATGGCTTTTTGCGCTGTAGTGTAACGTGCCGTAGCACTTACAGAAGTACGAAAGGATGAGATATTTTATTTCAGGAGACCAAAGGATCCAAATGAGATTTTGCTTTTGACAAAAGAATGGATACACAGATGTCAAAGACAAGATTCTATTAATGTGAAGAGCGGAAAATCTGCAGCGAACATTTTCTATGCAGTTTTTATGAAGATGATATGAAAAATCGCTTGTTTGGATAGCCACAAAAAGAAACTGTTGAAATGGAATGCTGTGCCGAAAAATTATGATGACAATAATAAATCGAAATTGATGATGACATAAAAATCAAATTTAATGATTTTGAAATAAAACTCACAAATGAAAATGTAGATATCCTGAATGTTTAAGGATAAACAAGAATGCATTGATAATTTGAAGAACAAATAATATCCTTAGAAAATTGTATTAATTATATTAAAGTATTGAAAAATAGAGAAAAGAAAAAATTTTCGAATGTTGTTCAGCGACAAAGAAGGTGGACGACATAGACAGAAACTGGTATCAGAAATTAAAATCTCAAATAGCGAAATTTGGGGGTGGGGGGAGCACAAATCGGAGAATTTGGAAAAATGTCTAAAGCATATTTTTATAAAGGCGCAGATTAATGCATTACTGAAAAAGAACAAAAAAATCATGTGGACTATTGAAAATATTTCACGTTGCATCGTCTAAGAGCTCTGTCATCTTAAAGCTTGATTTTGGAAGAAAAAAATTAAGAAAAAATTGGAATATTCTTTACTAGTATATCAAATTAAAGAAATGGTGTTTATTTTATTTTTTAGTGTTTTCTAATTTTAGTGTAGTCCAAGAATTCAAAGTAATGTTCTTTCTCTAAGAAGGAAAGAGGCGAATATTTGTATTCTGTAGAAAAAATATGCGTTCTCAGTTTCGACGAAATGCATATAGATTGAAAACTCAGCTATGCTCTAAACTGGAACTAAGTTGGTTATTTTTAAAATGTGCAGTTTGTTTAATCAGAGGTCTCATTTCGCGCTCTACCTCAAATTACTGAGAAACCGCGTTTTAGATAGAGGATTTGTTTAGAAGATGTAACTGTTTGAAATTTGATATTATTAAAGAGGTTTTAAATAGAGATTGAGAAGAAATCAAATTGTGTCACAAACTAAAACCAAATTATTTAATGGTCAAGGGAAACGAGAGACAAAAAGTCGCTCCAGAGAAAACATTATTTTCAAAAAGTACCGCAAAAGGTATATACTCTACCCCACAGGAAATCAGAAAGCATCTGACATCTATGAGTTAATCGATAATATCTTCGGTATTATGAATAGTACCAAAATAGTACCAACAAGAATAACAAGTATTTTTAACAAACTAATTTTGTTAAGTACTTGTTAAAGTATTCTTATTGTATCCTTTGTAACTAATATATCACTAGATTTTGTGCTAGATTAGCATTCTAGATAAATATAATAGTAAAGTAATTGACATAAAAAGACCTGCTTCTTTACTCACACTTTTGAAAAATTAAATGACTGTTTTTAGGTACTCTGAATAAAGCTATTGCCAAATTAAGGTAACAATCTTATATACATTTATTTAATTGTAATATAGATATAAGTATAAATTACAAAATTATTTTAAAAAATATCTATTATATTGAATCGGAAGAGAATTATAACAATGTAAAATTTACAATTAGGCAAAAAACAAACTTAGGTTAGCAGAAATGTTCCATATATGTCATATAGTTTAACCTATGTCAATGTAAAGTTGTTTTTGAGTAATTTAAGTAGCTGCTATTATAGTTATCTTAGAAGCATAAAACTTCTCTCAGTTTAGCATGAAAATAAAGAAATGATTAGAAATAAACGTGCATTAAATAAAAAAACCTTCAAATAAAAAAAATAAAAAAAAAAAAAAAACACGGAACTTTATGTTAAAAGAGTAGCACATTTTATCTATTATTTTAAAATTGAGTAGCATTATTAAATTTTTTTAATGGTTCAGTCTAAATGCATAAAGCAGTAACATTGGCCTCTTCCAAATTATAGCTGTTTCACACACAGCTCATTTAAACGCTGGTTCAAAACGCTAATTTCCAAGCTGTGAATTATATTGGCGCGCTCAGTGTCATCATGGCTACGTCATCACTTCTCACTTTCTGTTTCAGGGGGAAAAGCTCTATGAGCTAGCCCTTCTCTAAGTCCTGATCAGTCCAAATGTAATGAGAGCCAAAAAATATAGCTTAGGTAAAAGAACTTTGTGAAACTACCGAAAAGATCTGCATGTAGTCATGAGATTAAAACAAAACTCCTGAGAGACTGCACTTATGAAATTATTATTTGTAAAGAATTGTATTAATTGTGATTTTAGTAGCTTAGAATTCATACTTTGTTGCAGTGTTAGAGGGAGGGTTTTTTTTTTTTTTTTTAAGAAAACACAGACTTTAATGTTGACTTTTTTTTTTAGGTTAACTTCTTTGAATTAAGTCAAGTGGCAGAATGTTGGCTATTGACGAGTCACATCCTTTGATGCTAATAATTAGCTGCAGCAGATTTATAACAATGTGTTAATGTTCCTCTTCTCTTGTAATATAGCAGAATTGAAACTGTGAAACGGCAACTAGTAACGAATCTGCATTTTCCGTAAATAAATTTATGTTTTTCTTACTCTTATGAGCAGTATTTTTTCTTGACACATATCACAGAACATAACACAGTCGAGTCTGTTTTAACGAAAGTAAATGATCGCAGTGTTTCCATAACACCTGCTGTTTAGGTTTCTGTACTGAATTGTAATTAATTTTTCATATACGTAAGCAGTTATTTTAATAAATTTTAGTGCCTTTTCATCTACCTTTCTCGTTAGTTTTATTTCCTTAAACATTCAGCTTTATTCATGAGTTATATAACGCAATTAGAAAATTAGCATAGTTATTCAGTAAGAAATCGCACAATAATGTTAAATGTTCACATGATAAAAATTCAAATTTTCCTAACAAACTGAGGCTGAATTTTATTGATATATGCCTCAGTTTTAAGACAAATTATAATTAATTAGCTAGCCGTCTTTAACAAACCTACAACAGTAAAGAAAATTCGATTTTCATTCGTTTCAGTGAAATTAAATTATACGTAGCAAGTTATTTTTGTCGAAGAAAGAAATCTTATATTGTGCAGCTTACAAAAAAAAATATTAGTTTTAGATGTCACTCATAGATGGCACCGTCTGCTATTGAGGTTTGATTATTTAACTTCACTCTTGATCTGCACTATTCGACAGAAATTAAAAAGAATTATATTAAAATGTGATCTGAAATTACACAGCACAATTGTAAGCAAAGCGAATTAAATTTGTAGACAAACTGAGAAGTATTCTATCAATTATGCTTCACAGAACTGTGCCTACTGTACCTACTTTTGACAAAAAAGCTTACATTTAACATAAACTCAAATCAAAGCAAGCTCTGAATTTAGGGGAAGGGGTCGCCCATATTTTAAAATGGCATTTATCCAAAATAGGCTAATTTTTACATAACAGAAACCGTGATTCAAACTGTAAATCAATCAAATTATAATCAAATTTGATTTTAATAAATTTGTAAAAAAAATCAATATTTCTTTTTAATTTTAAACCAAAATTAATTGATTTAATTAAATTAAATCAAATCAAATTGATTAAAAGCATTTATAATTTTATATTTTAATGCCTTATAATATATAGAATTAATCTGTTTTAATATAAGTCTTTACATTATGTATACGTCCTTCGAACTAATGTCCTAATTTTCATTCTGATGGCACATGTAAATACATTTTAGATTTTTTTAACACGTGGTAATTTTTATTTGCGCCGAATATTTTAAGAACATGTAGAATTTAAACTTTTAATCAGAAGCACTGAAAGGAATTCAAGTAAATTTGAAATGCTATAATTCTTAGAAATTTTAAACTTATTATTTTAGCTTACAACACTCTATTAAGTTCCGCTATTTCAGTGCATAAACAATTTAGTATTTCTTTTTAGAAATTGCCTCAAAATTGCTATATTGAATCAGAAAGTTAATTATAATTATTATTTTTTGGAAAAGGAAGGAAAGAATGAATTAAATTTACGTTATTAATCATACTTTTATTTTATCTTTTATTTTTATTACTAAAAATTACGTTTTTTATAACCATACTGCTCTACTATATGTTTTCTTTTTGAGAAAATACGAATTTGTTCATGCCGTTTGCAATTTTGATTTTTCAAATATTTATGATATTTTTTAAATACTTTTGTAATGCACGCCACAAATGTAATAAATAGTATTGGTAACGTGAGGGCAAACAAATGTAAGCATTACTAGTCTACTGCTACTGGTTTCTACTATGTTTTAATAAAGTTAAGACCCTTTTCTTCCAGATAAGATGTAGTCAGCATTTATTACAAATTATTTACGTTTTCCGATCGGGAATATTAAAAATCAATGTAAAATTTCAAGCGGACTATTAGAAATTATTAAAGTAGTTCTATGTTTCATTTTCATAACTTTGAAATTACTCCAAATTACTCCAGATTTCCTACATTATACAACAGTAGATGCAACCTGATGCAAACGGTATTAGGAAATAATCCGCTGTCGTTACAGTCCCTGTCATATCTGAATTCATCATATTCATCATGCTTACACTGTTTGCTTAGTTGGAAAGCGTATCTTTATACGTTTGTTATGTTTATTAGAAATCGACATAAGATTTAATAGAACAAAAAGTAATTAACCAGAGCTTACGGCACTTGTAATTTCGTTCTTCCTTCTAAAATATTATTTTAATTGAATGATCAAACTTAATTTCTAAATTCTAAATTTTCAAGACAATGAGGAGGAGAGAGAGTTTTAGGTCCCCTGAGAATTATGAAGGCAATTACATTTTCTATGATACTAATCATTGTGGAATTAGAAAAAATAATAAATAAATAAACTGTAAGAAAGAAAGAAAGACTTTCCCCCCCCCTTCCAAGTTCGAATTTCCTAGCAGCATAGAATGTATGCCTAATCTGCTCTTAAATGTCTTTTCCGATTTTATAACTAAGTATAAAAGCGTTGAGTTTTAAATCCTTGCTCATTGGTGGAAATCGTGCCAAAACTGGAATATTTTCTTTGATTTATACCAAAGTTTAAAAACTACTCCGATTTAAAAAAAAAAAAAAAAACATATTGTTGCGTGCGTACGGGTTCGTTACGAAATGAATGTACAAGTCCGATGAAAAATGAAGAAAATTTATTATTATCACAACAAAATATGATTAAATGTCCTCAAATAATCGTGCAGTATCACAATATATCACAGTAGTGTCTTCTAACTACTCAAACGTTCAAGAGAACTTAATTCAAAACAGCTAAAGAAAGCTAATCCGCTAATCATTCTATATCCCGATGCTATCCAAAATATGTTCGGGGGCTCACCAGCGGCCGAGCGGTAAAGTCGTTGAACACTGGTAGTTCGGTCCGAGATTCGAATCCCGCGAACGGGCTGGCTGCATGGGCGTTTTCGTGGTTTCCCCATGTGTAACGTGTATACGAGCCAGTTTCCCTTAGAAAGTCGTCCACGAAGGCATCCCTCCTCTTAAGCAGATAGCCCTCGAAGCTTTGCAATAATCACATACATACACTCTAAACAACAACAAACTAAGTAACTACTACGAACTGAAAGGTTTTCCTCCTTTTATAAGATTTTAAAATCGCGCGCGAGAATTTTCTAGTACTTTCTCGAAATCAAAAAGAAATATTTATTAAATGTTTCATGCACGCGCTCTTGTATTTTCAATTTTCCGGATTGGCTTTCTTCTTTTAATATTCGTCACGCGCTGCACTGCGCTGGAAATAAAACCATTTAATTTACAATTCAACTAACATTAGCTATTTAAATACCAAATCCGTAACAATATATTTATACATATAATTTTATTGGGTCAGAATTTTTCAAAACTGCCATAATTTTTTACATGATTCGGCGACTTGGACATTTGCCCTGGTGCCAGGGCAACCCCGGCTATGCGTCTGAAACAGTAGATTAACAGATATATTGTACGTTATACTAATTATACTAATTGTATACATGCATGGCAAAATTAGCTACAACAATGCCGTTCTTTTTCATATAGACCCCAAATGAGCAAAGAACTTGCGACTGTAGCAGCTTATATTATTGTTCTGAGAACTGATGTTAGGGGTTTATAGATCTTATCGCTCAGTTTTCCATCCCCTTATCATTTACGGAGGAGTACATTTTTTCCAGTTTTCCCATTATCCTCCTAATCTCAGCTCCACGATGATCAGATGGGGGGAATGCATTCCCTTGTATGGCACGTGACTAATTTTCATTTAGTTATCATTAAAAATAATTTAGTGAAACTTACTTAAATTCTCTTTTATGTACACTTTTCTCTCTGTCTTCCTACAGTATAAAGATTCCGCAACTAAAGTTTATAATTAGGTATCGTGCTAAAGATTATTCTTTACCATGGTACGCAAATATGACGATAGAAATATCTTTTATTAATTAAAACTTGAAAGGTATTTTCTCCCTCCTTCCAGCATGCCTTCCTAACGTAACGGTAACACATTCGGCGCGTATTCCAGATGTCCAGGCTCAAGCCCGGCAAGGGCATTGCATACTTTTCAGGCATCCTGCTTCAAAAAAAAAAACCTAATGACTCTACAAATTATTTACATTGATCAAGAAATGCCAAAAGTATTATAGATGAAAAATATTGCAAATGAACCTTAAATTTATTTTTAAGTCTTAACTATTTTCACTTACAAAATATCTGGAATTATTTCTCAGATGATGGAATCAAAACTGATAACCACACTGTGGCCTTCCAAGTTAAATAAAAAAAAATCTGTCAGTCTGCATTTCAACGCATTTTCATTGAGTCAACTTCTACAGCAAGACCAAGCAGAAAATAAACCAATCACGCCGATACTCAAGTGCGGCAATAAGACACGGATATCCCAGTTGAAATGTAGACAATTAAATGAAATATGAAAATTTTTAAAGGAAAAATTGTTAATCAATGAAATTTTACTAGAAAGTCAAATAGATGGGTTGAGCTCTACTACATTCATTTAGAAGTTTTTCTTTTTTTTTTTTTTCTTTTTTTTTTTTTTTTTTTTAAAGTTTTAAAAACTTTGCATGTGCATTTTTCAAACTTTATTTGATTTTATGTAACTCTTACAGCTGAAAAAGTGCTTTTTTCTTGCGTAATTATTTAAATATTTTGAACGTACTAAATTTAATCATAATTTAGACATTTATTTTAGAGCAGTAATATGTCAAAACATCCTTACTTTAGAGAAAATTACATATACAAAGCAGAGTTAAAAGACTCTTTACTCTGAAATTTCCATGCAAATAACGTCAGTTTCCGGCAAAAGGCATTTCATTAAGACACCCCTTTTGCTAGGATGATAGTTCTCGTATCTCAGCAATTAATCAAAATTCACTCTTCTTCAAAAGTAAAATATACTATAATTAAAATTCAATTTTAAATTACGTATCGAATCAAATCCGCATTCGTCCTCTCAATTATTATAGCTTTATTTCTTTATCCCTGAATTAGGTATATAAATTTTGTCTGTTCAGTAATATCTAACACACGGGTTGCCAAAATTTAAACCAAC